CAGCACGTCTCAATTTGTACTAGCCACACTTCATGCATTTAATAGCCACATGTGGCTAGTGGCTACTGTGTTGGGCAGGGCAGTTTAGGGGATCCTTCAGGAAAAGGTTATTGGGGTTGCACTGGGGAAACCAGGACACCCTCTGCACTCATCTGTGAATTTTGAAGTGGCAGGACTGCTTCCATGTCAATTTTTAGAAAGACTCTCAAGTGTGGCCATATTCCCTTGAGAAATATGGATCCTGCTTTATGTCTTTTTCCAGTACTTTAGAAAGTTTTAGGATATGCTTTACCTTTCTTTTTCTTTTTTTCCTCAAATAATGGAGGGATATTCCTGTAAGTTGGGAGGTTTAGTTTGCTAATTCGATATATGTCATAGATGCCGAGGGAGCTGTTTGCAAGCATGTGGCTGCTCCCCATCTTAATTTAGATATAGAGCATTATAGTCTTTGATTCATCCCCTCCCTGGTTTATGATTATAAGTTTGCTAATTCGATATATGTCATAGATGCCGAGGGAGCTGTTTGCAAGCATGTGGCTGCTTCCCATCTTAATTTAGATATAGAGCATTATAGTCTTTGATTCATCCCCTCCCTGGTTTATGATTATTTACTTGGTAAAATGGGCCTGTTGCCTTCCTGCTGTGTACTGTGGCCACGTGTGCCTTAACATTTAGAGTGTTGAGGTCTTCAGCAGATTTATATCTGGGAGTTGAGTGGGAAGTTACTTTCAGAGTACAGTAATGATTTGTTGATTAATAGGCCTTTATTTCTTGCCAAATGTTGGTGTATTTGTTTCTGCTTTTAAGGATTTCTAACATATTGGTTCCAAAATATTTGGGATCTTGTGCCAAGTGTTGTCTTAAATATTTAGCATGTTGTTTTCTTTAAGCTTGAATATTGCAAGCCCAGCTGAATGATCCTGTGAAATTGTGCAGCATCACTATTGTTTCAAAGCTAAGCCCTTTATTCTTTGCCAAATTTCAGTTTACAGCTGCTCTTTACCTAGCAAGATTTATTCACTCTCAATAGATATCTGAAATGCAAATACTGATTCAGTCTTAATAATAAGGACATGAATTGTGGCACTATATTTGGAAAATGAGTAAGGAAACATTTTAAGGCAGTTATTTTAATATATTCTTCTGTTCCACTACAAACTAAATTTCAAAATACATTTATTTAACATTTAAAGTGATATAAAATGGGAGAAAAGAAGTTATAAAAGTTTCAAATACATTTTCTAAGGTTATAATAATTAAAATCTATTTTCTATCCCAATGCTTTTAGTCATAGTATGAAGACGTGTTTGAAACATGATTTCAAGCATTTCCGATAGCTATCTCATGTTATTATGTTCATGTATGTTATTTTAAAAGTCTGACTTTGAGATTAATTATATGTAATATAAATATGAGTATAAAATTAGTGAGGAGTTTTGTGGGGGTTTTTTTTACCCCTCAAGCATGGATTTTTGAGATCTTCTTTATAGAGTATCATTTTGTTTTGTTTTGTTTTGTTTTTAAGCAGGAGGAACAATGACATTATTGTGTTCTTGGTGATATGTTCTCAAAATTCTTGATCTTAGACCTTCAGTTTTCTTATCTGTAAAATAGGGATAATAATAGTACCTGCCTCATAGGGTTGTTATGAAGATTGAGTGAATTAATAATTGTAAATCACTAAGAATAGTTTATGTGACATAGTAAGCACTCTAAGTTTGTTTAATATATAAAAATGTTATTCATTTAAGAAATATTTTTCAAATTCTATTCCAACATTTTACTTAGCTGATATATAGAAACATCTGAAAAAAAAGAAATGTAATATCTGTGTTACTATTCAATTTCCTCATTTCTTTAGTTGAGTGATGCTAATTAATCTCCATTCTAAGCTTTGCATAGAAATTTATAAAAAATTGTTTATGCCTCTGAATGCAGTTTTCAGTTACTGAGTTTAAAATTCTGTCTATAGCTAGAGCCACTAAATGAATATTCAGTGAGAGTAACCATTTCCAAACTCACTGCTGCATTTCTACTGAAAATAATCCTCTCACCATCCCACAAGAACTTCCTATATCATCACCTTCTGTCAAGTTGTTTTCCTTTCCGGATGTCCAATAAAGCTTACTTACTGCACTCTGGCATTTCATTGATAGCATTTGGTTAATTTTAAGGTGGTGATTTGTGCTTAACTATAATTTACTGGACAACTGGCACCACAGGCTGGGCAGAGCCCTGTCGAATAAACCAACTATGAAGACTAGGCTGGTGGTAGAGACCCTCTGGCTCTCCTAAGCAGCTCTTTCACACTCGAGGGAGGGATTGGATGCAGGAATTATCAGTACGGGAGAGACCATGCTCAGTCATCCCTACTGTATCTTTACTGATCTTTGAGAGGAATCTGCTGGCCAGAAACAGGCCTTGATTTCCCTTTTTTTTGTTCTGGGAGTGACTTATTACTGATATGTGTCACTATCTTAGTCCAATACCAGTTCTGAGATCTTAGAGCACTGTGAAAATTTTCACTGACCTAAACTGGAATTTTCCATAGCTATCAATTTAGTTTGCATTTTGTGTTTATGGCATTCTACATTATTTTAGAAGGATCTAGAGTTTCATCTAGGAGTGTTGAAAAGACATAAGGATAAATGTTTTAGGATGAGGTAGAGTGTGAATGGGTAAGTTTCACAATAGATAAGTTTAGCAATCTCACAAAATAGAAAGAAAAATAAAATTGTATAATCATTCATAAATTTAGTACAACAATCACACATAGACATTGAAGGCTGATAATATAGATTTTACTTTTAGCTTAATTTAAAAAAAAAATTTACAGTGGCATTTCTTTCGATGTTCTTGTGGTGCATAATTTTCCAAGCTTAATAATAAGCTGCCATGGTTTAATTGCCTTTTACACAAAATGGTTGCCTGCAGCTCTCTTTTTCTCTAAACAACATTTGCTCAGTTTTCTCGTATTTTTTAATGGAGTATTGTGTCCCGTAGGGAGACATGGTAAGGTACAAAGCTGAAGAAGGAATCGGAGAGTTGGGGAGGGGCGTCAC